TTCCTTCCTTCCTAATATTTTTCTATCCGTCTTTTTACTTCTTCCCTTCTTTCTTCCCTTCTTTCCATTCATTCCTCTAAAATGTTTTCTATCCATCTTTTCTCATTCTTTCCTCCCTCCCTTCCGATTTTTGACATGTCATTTTCAGCTTGACTTTTATTGGGGGTCAATTCAAGATCTTGAGCTTTTTTTTTTTTTAAAGCCTACCCCGTGGTAACACTTTTGCATGGATATGTGTAATTTAGTTGGTTTCTATAATTCTCTTGATTGGCCCATGTTTGGACTTCATTGTATTTTTTTTAAAAAAAATGTGGTATGGTCTCAGCTGTCGCGATCGTCTTTAAGTCCTATGCTCACGTGGGAACATTTAAAGAAACGTTCCAAAACTTTACAGGAATTGAGCACTGAACCCTGCTGCGCACATTAAAAAAAACACAACTACCACAACCTGTTGCTTCCACTGGTCAATGTTTGCTGAGTAATACGATGAGTTGAGTCAGATTTAGAATAGATTAATTGATATCTTAAAGTTGGTAAGGGACTTTCTGGATTTCATCCTTCAGTTTGTGGATGACTTAATATGGACCCATTGCAGTGCTAAAAGCTTCGAGAGAGAGAGAGAAAGATGAATATAGGAAGCGTTATCTTTTTCAGACAGTAATTTTTGTTCCAGTAGGATAGGATTTGCACTATAATTCCAACCAACTTGCAGGAACTAAAACGCTAGCATGCGTTTCTCAATTTGAATCTGGCTAGGGCACTCTATTGCCTCGTGCTTATATTAGCAACATTTTTTTCTTCGGTTTGGTTTCTTTGGGTTTTTTTTTCTTCTTCCCCTTTTTTTTAAAAAAGAAAAAGACTTTTTTTTAAAAAAAAAACATGTCTGGGTTTTGTTCCTAAAAATGCAATCCCGTATTTGGAAGTCGTGATAAAAACCTTTTGCCTTCTGAGTGGTTTTTTGTGTTTTTTGGTTTAAATTATCTAGGCAACGCTAGTCTGTAACCGACTTGTTTCTGAAGTGTGACGCAAGTGGTAGGGCACATACACAACTGTTTTTCTCTTAGCATCTCCGCTAAAGGGATGGAAGCACAACCGTTTTACATTCGGCCTAAATTTGTTCGCGGTGCTGCTATTCTGTAGTGCATGTCGTGATGCTGTGCATACATCGCTCCTGTACACCATGCCACCTCTGATACCTGTCTACGTATTGGTGCCAACCTATCCATGCAATGACTTGAGATTTCTACGACATTCCTGATCTGACACTCTTCTTCTTATTTTTCCTCTTCCCTTCAATGCTGGGAATTTTTCAGGCGGGAAGGATGGGGGTATTCTGGTTTAAGTCCTTGTAAATGGCTCCCCACGCACCCCTCCTCGGCCTTCCAGGAATTAATGGCACTTGCACCATAAAGTCTAGTTGATGTGGAAATCTGTTTCCTGTAAAACCCTTGTACACGCGTCTGTCTCTTTAACATATCAGAATTATGTAAGCCATATAGCGGTTCATCCATCTTTCCTTTTATTTTCTTTTTCTTTCGAATTTTCTCTCCCCACCGGATGGCCGATCGTTGATCATTCACACTGTGGTTTGTGGAGGTGTCTTTTATTTTTATTTTATTTTGGGGTTCCTAAAGAGTTCAATTCTCTTTTTTTGGAGCACGATAAGGGGCAACTTCTATAGATTCTAGGACAATTCCCCATGGCCGACTTGCTACAAGACAAGAGTGGTCACTTAAATGAAGAGGAAAGAATCCTTTAAAGAAAGGATGCAAAAGAAGGAAGGAAAATGAAATGTGAACGACCAACATTTTAAAAAGAAATTAAATTTACTTCACATAAGTGTTGAATTGGCCCGTGGCGAGTTAGCCATGTTGAGTTGACTTGGCCATGGTGAATTGGCTGGAGCGAGTTGCCCCATTCCTACTTCTGTCGACTTCTTTCAATTTGACGACTTACGGGAAGACAGTACCAGCATGACTGAATTTTTCAACCTCACAGGGCGATCCTCTCTCTAGAGACCTGACCCAGGTGTCCAAGGGAACAAGAAACACTTGTTTCAGCAACCAACCCACATATCTGCTTCGATGTCGCCCGAGAAGAAATACGACATATCTGGGGTTTTGCTCTTGGTGTATTGAAGATTTTTTTTCCCCATGTCGGTTACGTTCACTTAGAATGTGAATACATTCGTTGGTTGTGTATAAATGGGTTTTTGTATCGAGCCCCGATCGGATTAAATGTATAACCAATATACAATAAACATATTTGCTTAATTGCTGTGTCTTTCAGCCTCTTAAAATTGGAGGATCCGCACATTTTGAGTTCAAATCATTTCAGTCGATTTCTCGGTTGCCCTGCGATCTTTAGAACTGTGCTACTGATGAGAGAAAACCTTTCCCCCTTCTTTTTCTCAGTTATTACATTCCACCTTTGTTATTTTTACGAATCAGTCCAACACGTGTTTAGAATAGAATAGATCAACAGAATTGGAAGGGACCGTGGAGGTCTTCTAGTCCAGCCCCTTGCTTAGGTATAATACATTTCAGACAAATGGCTGTCCAATCTCTTCTTAAAAACTTCCAGTGCTGGAGCAACTTGTTCTACTGCCAGGGAGTTTCTCCTTAGTTCTCGGTTGTTCCTCTCCTTCATCAGTTTCCACCCGTTGCTTCTTGTCCTTCCCTTCTTGGGGTAACTGGTCAAATAGGGTCCATGGGGGGGGGAGGGGAAACCCCCCCTCCTAAGCCCTCTTTCTCCTAGGCTGTCTTGGTCTTTCAGTGGCTCCGGTGGGGGGGGGGGAGTGGATGAGATCCTCGCAACTCAGAGTAGCCAACCCACTTTGGTTGGGGGTCTCATCAGGCCCAATTTTTAAAAATTATTATTTCATGCTGTCTTTTCTCTTAAATATAATACACAATATAATACGGCCACAACGGAGCCCGAAATGTATGTTGCTAAGTGAGAAAATGGTTGAATGACTTTTGCGACTTTTTCTTGTCTCGTTTGTGAACCGTATCGCTGCAGCAGTTAAATTAGTTAACTGCTAGTTAGTTAAGTGAATCTGGTTCTGTCAAAAGATGGTTGCATGACACACACCCTCCCCCCAGGGTGCTCTTAAACTGTCATAAATAGGAGCCCGTCATCAAATGTAAATCATGCAGCCCCGGGAATGCTACAATAGTCATAAGGGTGAAAAACGGTCACTGTTTTTTTCAGTGCCATCGTAACTTCGAATGGTCACTAAAATGAACTCTTCTAAATTCTTGTGTGTCCCTTGTAGGTCATCTAGTCCAACCCACTGCCCAAGCAGGAGACCGTACACCATTTCTGACAGATGGCAGTCCGTTCTCTTCTTGAAAACTTCCAGATAGATAGATAGATAAGAGAGAGTGAGAATGAATGAATTCTTTATTGGCCAAGTATGATTGGACACACAAGTGATGAAGCTCCCATTCCACTCCAATATTCTATTCTTCCTATTCCTATTCTATTCTATTCCAATATTCTATTCCATTCCAATATTCTACTGTACTCTAAGCTGGCAACACTTTTAAGGTGCCCTGAGGGTCCACTGATTTCTTTAGATGTTTGGACTCCCAACTCCCAGAAACCCCCAGCGTGCTTTAAGATGCATGGACTCCAATTCCCAGAATCCCCCTCGCCAGTCTCCTTTTAAGATGCATAAATGCCAATTCTGAAATGTTGCTAAAGATCGATGCCTTAAATGGTAAGGGGTTTTTGGGGGGCTGGCGTGGCTGAGTGGGAAGCATGACTCCACCACCCATCGTGGCCTGCAGTTGAGTGTCCACGATTCAGCCCTGACATTCCCTGCAAACCCTGGTCCCAAGACCTGGGAAAGGATGCTTAAAGCCAGACCTTCTGCAACCTGGCGCCCGCCCTCAGCGCGTTCCATGCGCTGCGGGCGCCCCGGCCTCCTTGGATGGCGAGGGGGTGACGTCACGCCCCCACCTCCCCCTTGACCGTTACGCCTCCCTATCACGCGAGGGGGCGCGGCCTCCCGGGCCACTCCCCCTTGGAACCAACGCTCACCCCCCCTTTTTTTCCCCCTCCTTCCCTTTGCGTCACTTCCGCCGGCGGTTAATCAGACCCAGACGGCGTTTCCGCTTCCGCTCTTGGTCGAGGTGTCCCTTCTGTCACCATCAGCTGGTGAGTCCCTTCCTTCGGCGTCGTTCGTGACCTATTTTCCCTTTCTTTCTCTTTTTTTCCCCTTTCGGGGGACTGAGGCCCGGTAGGCCGCTTCGGGCTATCCGGTCGCCGGTTAAAAACTGAACGTTAAGCCAGCTTGGCTTTCTCCCTTTTGAAAAGGGGGTGGGTGGGGGAGTGTTCGGTAAGCCTGTGCGCGGATTGTCCAGGGATTACGGTAGTCAGGTTTCTCTGTTGGAGCGCACCTTCCTTTTTTCCCCCGCCCTTATTTTAGGGTAAATACGGTAACAAAGAAACCAGGAAGATTCCATAAGGGGAAACGGAGGCTTTGAATTCTTGGGGTAACCGGTCAACTAGGGTGCATGGGAGGGGGG